AAAAAACCTAGAGATCTTGGGAGAGGAAGCACAAAATTGCTGGAAATCTTTGCTAGGTCATAGTGAAAAAATCTTTATCATATAAAAAGAAATCCATTGTAAAGCCTGACAGCTACTGTCAGATGCGCTCACATTTGAACTCAGACTATGTGTGTGAACAGAATGGAACATGGCCCAGTCAGTCCACAGTTACTCCTAGGGTTCACGTACTTTTGTAACCACCTATAAAAAGATTAAGGTGACTTTAAAAAATTGTGTAAGCAGAGTGATAATTTTAACAATACAAAGGAAAACGGCGTACATTTACAATTTTGTTTTCGAGTCTTGGTTTATTAAATATATCAAAACAGATACAGCTTGATGCCATTTTTCATTTACACTGCAAAACATTCTTCCACGGTGTTTTGACACTATTTAAAAGCTTTAACACTAAAGGTTTGATTTCAATTCCACTGATTTAAATTATTCCCCAACTGATGAAGCTCAGGTTATTTTCAACTACTTGAAATCAACATTGTTGTATTAAATGCCTTTGTGCAGAACCTTTCCTTTGAACAAGAACCTTGGACATGAGATAGAAGAGTACCAAAAATGCAGGCTCTGGGAGCAGCCAGAATCCTGGCTCTCATACTAACTGGCTGTGTGACTTAAAACAAGGTAAATGAACTTGTGGCTGGAGTTTCACTGGTAAAACAAGGAGTAAGTCTATTTACATGGTTGCAATGGGGCTTCAAAGAGAGAATATGTAAAGTGCTTGGAGCAGGGCTTACTTAGCAAACAGCAAGCACTCCCCCTGAGGGCTATCAGCAGTAGCTAAGGAGCAAACTCAATTTTCAGGAGTGCTCTTGTTGAGGACCATTTGTTTTCCCCTCTCATGTCTCAGCAAGGAACTCACTCAACTTCAAAATGAGGCGGCACGAAAACTATGGACAAGGTACAAGCTTTCCCCAGTGGTCAATCCTCCTAGCTAGACAGGACAGGGCAGGCTAGGAAATATGGAGGCTCTTGTCTCTAGGAACTTGGTTTCCTCATGAGAATACTGAGGGCCCTGAGGAGGCGAAGTCTGAGTTCCTTCTGGGACCTGCAAACTACCTTCCTTCTTTCCTTGAAGGGTCCTTGATCCACTACAGGAAAGCCAGACAAATATACTCCACGTCTTCTTGCAGGAGTACTGATCTTATATACAGGTGATCTTCAGATAAACCATCAGGTCCCCATGACCTACCACCAGGGTCCCCCTTTCCTTTCTTCCTAGCTTCAGCTACCAAACAGCATAGCAAGAACCTGCGAGGGGCCCCATGGAAAGACAAGCAATAGCTACCACCGTAACTTCAGCCACTGAGTCGTGAGAGTACAGAGACTGTGGGGTAACATGGAATGAATAATCATAAAGGGCTCAAATGCAGGCAGCATACTGGAGGCTGTGGCTCAAATGACCCAGATACCAGCTTGACGAAGCCAAAGCAAACTCAGAATAGGAATAAACCTAAAAATAGAAAGGAAAATTGAGGAGGAGGAAGTGTTTGTCCTTCTGTTGTTGGTTGAACTAAACATGCAGCTGTCTTGTTGCGACGGAGGAACAGTGTGGAAGGGACGGACAGGCGGCTCTGCTCTCAGTCTGATGAGGTAGCAGTCTTGACAATCTAACAAAGCCATCTAAAAGCGAGATAAAGCTGGCCCAGAGGACCTGCTTCTGGCAATCAGTAGCCCACATGTGGTCAGGCAGACCTGCTCTGTGAGGCAGACCTGGACTTTTAGCTCGGGCAGGGACATGCCTGGTGTTTCAGTGCAGAAGGACCTTCCTGGCCAAGGCATGATGGAAAGAACAGATATGAGTGCAGTTGGCTGCAACCTGCCTATACAACCCAGAGCTGGTTATGAAAGGCTTCTGCTTTCTCTGTGAAAACCAAATATATTTGGTACACAAAATGCCGCATTAGTTAAAACAAAACAAAAAAACAAACAAAAAACCACCAGAATCCCAGAGGCCTTAAATGGAAGAAAAACCAATGAAAGGAGAACCCAAAGGCTTGGAGCATGGGCCAAGCAAAGGTGTCAGAAAGGTCTTTAAAACCCTGACACTTGTCCTGATCCATATAAGGTTCTTGACTTGGAGGTGGACAGAAAGGAGGTGGAAGTTCTGTTTACCAAGAGCCATCCACCGCAGCACAACACAATACAGATTATGTAGCATCCACGAAGCTACCAGGTCTGTCCAAGTGGGCAAACTACCCTCTGTGACTCACAATGCCACATCTGTGACTAAAGCAGCAAAAAAGAAAAGCTTAGGTAGTTATCGTCTTCTAGGATCAGCAGAAAGGGAGGACAAAGATCAGATAAAGGATGAAACCAGGCATTCCTAGAAAAGCCCAACAAAAGCTGTCCCAGCACAGCCTGAAGCTCCAGCGAAGTCTTGGTGTGTGGAAGAGAACAGATGCTGAGGACAGGAGTGCAAGGTCTCCACCCACTGAGATAACCCCCCCACTGTTCCCCTAAGTACACAGTTCCAGTCCAGCAGTGTTGTCCCAGCCTGCAGCCTCCAGAGGGCTAGTCAGCAGGCCAGCCTCCAGCTCTCCAAAAGAGGAGGTAGGGTAGAGGGCTTCACCACACTCAGCGGCTGAAACAATGATCCTCAACTCCAGCACCCAGATGCCTCCTTCTCCCAGACTCTAGAACACATTTCTAGACAAGAATTTTCAAAATGGACTCAATGCCCCACGTTGTAAAAGTTCTAGACACAGCTGAACATTCACTCTTTCAAGGGCAGACCTAACTCTCTGCTCTTTTGCTTGCAATATTCTTATAGCCCTCAACGTCCCTTTGGGAAGCACCCATCACCCATCAAGCACTGTTACATAAGGTGGGATACGAACCAGACAGACCAGGTTCCTGTTCTCATGCAGTCTATCTCAGAGCTACATCTTCCTCAAAATTCTATCCAATTCTTTATGTAACAACTTCCTCACTTATCATTCTCCCAGAAAAATCAGCAGCACATACACATGTGTCCTCCAGCTTGGACTACAAACATCTTGAGGGTGGAGACCAGGCAGCCTCTGCCTTACAGTAAAGCCTGACAATGTCCGATACACAGAAGAGGCCCAATGCTTCTTAAATTACACTAAGTCTGTCTCAGTTGGCTTCAATTTGTGCAAAAATAAATGTGCTCTGCCTATTTTAAAGAAATACACTCTATTGGAAGAGTGTGCACTAAACATTGTGGCAAAAAAAAAGAAAACCCAACAAGCCCCACTACATTATTAGAACTTGAATCTTAAAAGAGACCTGCAGTCCTCATGAACACCCTGTTATAATTTATACTCGCTGGGGCCTACAAGCCATGAACTTTTAGAGACCTGACTTCCAAGTCCCTTAGTCACCAGGCAGCAAATGGCTACCCAGCCTCAGCCAGCCATCTCCCAAAGAGAAAGTGGAAGCAGTCACTACCGGTCTTGTTCACTCACAGAGGCAGCACGAGAGATCCAGCTAAAATCTGTATATAAAAATGACAAGTTTAAAATGTTGTAAGCAGTGCTTGCTTCGGCAGCACATACACTAAAACTGTAACAATACAGAGAAATGCAAAAATTAGTGTTTCATATTTTTTGTAAAAAAGTGATAGGCATGAAAACCAGATTGCCCATTTGGATTCAAGAAATACAAGTAATCTATGACCGAGCTGGATTCTAGTTTGGACAAATCAGATGCTTCAGTTTAAGGAACCATCAAGAATTGTGTATATGGACTGAGTGCTAGAAACCATCAACTATTTTCACAAACTTTGGTCATGTTGTCAAGAGGTATCAGCCTGGGGTGGGGATGGGGAGATGCCATGAATGGAAAAGTCAAGGATCAGCAAAAGAGGAAACCTTCAGTAAGACGGGTTGACAGAATGACACAATGGGCAGAAGCATGGCAGAGACTGTGAAGATGGCACAGGAGTTTCCATCTGCTGTCACTACAGCTGGAAGGAGTCAGACTTGACTCCATGGCACCTACCAAGGGCTTAGGAAGTATGTAGAAAACCAATTTTATTATTAAATTTCTATATACTAACATATAGTATTGATGACTAGAATGTTATGTGTCTCTTATTTTCTTTCAAATACTTCAGTATAACAAGTGAGACAGAAAACAAACTAAACACAAGTTTCAGACCAGAGCAGCTCTGTCCTGGTAGAGGAGCTGCTTCCTGCCTTCCGCAGTCATGGGCACGCCGTCAGCAGTCTGTTTAGAGGAGGCCAACTGCGATTCAGTCTTCCAAACCAGGGAGACAAATGCTCCCCCAGCAGTGATAATCTTAGAGGGACCTTAGTCGGGGGAGGGCACAGGGGGAGGTTTCCAACGCTGGATCTTTTCTCATGTTGTCTTCCACCTGCTGCTCTGTTGTCTTATCACTGCAAAGGTGACAAGAGACAATGACCAGCTCACCATTCCCTGTAACACATCAGGGATCTCCTGGTGATGGATGATCAGAGGCTTGCCACTGGTTAAAGAAAAATGATACATCTCTCTGCCTGGCATCACAAAGACACCTGAAAACCACAATCGTCATGTTGCTGACTGATCCAGCAATGTTTTCTCAGTTTCTGCTGTCTTTTTATCAGCCCACAAGACAGGTGGGAAATGGTTCTTCAGCAGCAAAAAACTCGGGAAATATTTTATGACCATGTATGCTGCTGTGACGAGAATCCTGCAAACCCTGCAGTGTGTTAAAAGGCGCAGAAATGGTGTCCCGTTCTTGGTCCTCTGCCCGGCTCCATAGCGCCACACTCTGTCAGAGCCAGTGAGCTGCATCTTACCTTCCCCAGCCCTCCTGAGAGCCGTTCTGGAGTCACACGCAGGCGGTCAGCACTACTGCTCTGCAACAGCATGGGCTCCTTATTAGTAAGCCAGAATGGAGAAAAACTTAGCATCACCTGACCACAAGGGAATTCCGATTTTATTTTTCAAAAAGTTGTTCCCATCTCAGTTTCCTCCAGGAAGGACATGGAACTGCTTCAGGATGAGCATAATGATTCCCATTGCCGGAATATTCGGAATACCTTCCTCGACTTCTCAGAGAAACTCTACAGAGAGAAAAGTTTATCAGAGACCAAGTTCTTTTAAAGAGATAAAATGTACCAATTAGTTGGTAAATTTCTCTTGCAATGATGTAGCTATGTCTAGGAGGGAGCAGAACAAATTATATTTCACCCTGTGCTATAAATAATAATGACCTCAAACAAGAGTAAACTCTCTGGTTGCTGCTAAGAATAAATACAGCAAAGCAAACACTAACTTTAACAGTTTCTAATTATACAAATCAGTGAGCCTATGTATTTTTCACGAGAGCTCTCTTGGCCTAGTGGGGAGGGAGTTGCACTGCCTGCCCAAAGGAGTGAGGTTTGACTCTCTAAGGGTCCTAGAGGATCACCTATGAGTTGGAGTTGGTCCCTACTTGAGGACAATGAGGGAATGGTTTAGTCTTCAAGTAGGTGCAACCGTTCTCATCTGATTTTCTGAGCTGGTTCTCCTCTGGTAGCAAACTCACTCACTCTTTGGATCTTTGAAGTTGCTCTTTTCAATTTTATCTCATGTAGGATTTTAAGACTATACATATAGCTCTTAAATGACCAAGCACTATGATTAATTAAAGCTTTTTTTTTTTGCTAGTTAAGCTAAACTACTGCTTGGTTTTCAGAAGAGTTCAGCAAGTATAGTTGGTTTAAAGATTACCACCAAGCAACAGTTTAGGGGTTCAACCAAGCTTTGTGGGTCCAAAATTTTTGAATTTCAGGAGAATTTGGAAGTCTGTTCTGCACTGACTCCCTTTTAATTCATTATTTCTTGGGAACAAGGAACCACTTATGTCTACATGAGTCTAGCTGTCCAAGGCCAACAAGGAATAAAACAAAGTTAAATGACCTTAAGAGTTTATACTATGACCTTGGATTTCTCAACTTGGTTTAGCCAGCAGAGCTAATAATAGGAAGAATTTCACTGCCACTTGATCATGCCCATGAAGCGATCTGTGAATTCTGAGAAACAGTGTTCCCGGGAGACAAAGCACTTCACTGAAAGACACAGTTCTCAGTGATGTGGAACCCCGGCTTCTCTCTGCCATGAACCCACAATAAACTGAACAGACGGTCCACGTGGGAAGGTCTTGAGAACAGCACAAACCACATCGAATAAGGCAACCCACGTTTTCTGACCCAAGAGGACACTTTCAGTGCTTCCTTAGACTCTTCAAGGCTGTGTGTCTCAACAAATCAAGTCTTGGGAGGGGATATTTTGAGCTCTTAACTAATGGACAAGGGGGAATTAAGTTAATAATACAGTATTAGAAGACAAAGTTGAGAGGAAGTGAAGTTTATAAGATCATGTAAACCTTTTCCTAACAGCAAAGAGCCTTTAAAGTTTCCTGTCAGAGCAGTGCTGGGAAGGTTTGAGAAGCAGCTAGCAAGAGCAATCTGCAGTCCTGAGGCCAGTGCCAATCATAAGGCCAACTCCCTCCATCATGAGAAATCCCGTGGGACTTCATTTTAGTGACAGTGACATAGGGAGTCTTAATAAAAACTGCCGATACACCATTTTGCGAAGATCTATGTATTGAGAACTTACGTGCAAAGATAGGTTTAATCAAAGACCTATAATCAAATAACAATCTCTCTTCAAAAGTTTTTAAAGTGGGTAAATGCAGATTCTTTTCTGGTGAGACTTGGGAAACCTTTGCCTGCCTATCTGCCAAGGGCACCAAGTGTCCGCTCTTGACTCTTGGCCTGACTGGAGATCCATCAAATGAAGTCCTGTGACCCCACCAACAAGCCACACTATGAAGTCCTGCTGGCGAGGACTGCTGCACTGTGTCCCTAGGGGACAGAGGGAGGTGTCTACTAGGATACCAGGCACTTGTGCAGAGAGCCAGCAAAGGAGAGGGGGCTCAGTTTCTAGGACTCCTTCATGCCTCCAGTGACCTTCAGTCTCCATGCGGAACAAACCCCCCGCTCGGTTTTCAGCTGTTATGATGGACTCAGCTTTACCCACATTGGTAACCTCAGCAGTCAGCACGTCAGCTAATGTGGCTGGCCGAGCTCTGTAACTGTGGACTTGAGTAACGTGCCTGGTGTGAGAACAGAATCATAATCTCAAGAGTCAGAGCTCAGGGCTCCAATCAGCTAAGGTGGTTGGCCAGGTTCCAAGGACAAGTCACAGTAACTGATGCGGAAAGCAGCTGTGCTGCAACCTGAGGCCAGAGCAGCTGCTCAGGCGTCTATTTCTGTGTCTGTCCTCCTAGTCTACTGTGAATCACTTTAGCTGAGGAAACAAAGACTTTACTAAAATTTGAGCAAATGCCATGTACTAAGCAGTAGAAAGGCTGACCCTTCTCTGAGTCTGTTTTCTAGGACAGGCAGATACATCTACTCAGACTTATGAAAGCAGAGGACAGGCAGGGTGCTAGTTATGGGACGAGTCTCAGCTCTCCTCCACCCCACTCAAAGCAAGTGCTGCACACACAGAGGGACTTTCCCTCACCAAGGAGTCAGCTTCAGCAGGCTGCTTGGACTGAGTGTGGGCCAGCAGTGTGGTCAACACAGCCTTCCAGCCAGGCTCGCCCACGGGGCCACCATCCACTCCGCCTTTCTCTCCAGTTTCCTTACTGGGTGTGACATTCACCCAGGGACACCAATCTCTGTGCTGAGAGGTGGGATCAAAGAAGCTTCGGGAAGGTGTGTCCTGGGAGAAGAAGAAAAGGGACAAGGGTAGTAAAGGGGAGAGGCCAGGCAGCTTGAAGGAGACACAGCCATTCGTCAAGTCCAGAATTTTCCATATGCTCACAGTTTTAGCTTTTTACCTTTGCTTTTCAGTTCTGCCTCGGTGTTTCCTCTCATGGCCTTCATTCTTCCATTCCTTTTGTTAGACAATCTTATCAGGTTTTGTCCCTTCATTTCACTACTGCCCCAAATACTTACTACTACTCTAGAATTCACCCCAAAGGAACAAATAACAAAATTCTTCTATCAGCTCTCATAGTACATCTTGATACACATACATGTGGCCTACTTTTAGGTGTAGGCCTGGGAGGCATCCCTGCTTGCTTCTCCTGGCTGCCCAGGGAGGAGTGTGTGTGTGGGGTCTGCTCAGGGACTCACCGAGCTGCTGGAGGAGCAGAGACGGGCTCGTTTGGCTTTCCGCAGAGGGCTAGAGGGCACGTCCAGGCCAGGAGGGTCTCCGGTCCCCATGCTTCGGGTCACTGGGCGGGTCCTGGTGGTGGGACTAGCAGCTTCTGGTTCAGGACGGTCAACAGGACTGGAAGAGTCCCAGCTCCGAGTACGGGAGATGATGGGACCTGGGCTCTTTTCAGCCTCAAAGGGGAGGGGAGAGAACAGAAATGCCCAAGTGATTGTGACTGTGATAAAGAGAAATATTCCTAGAAGCAAGTAGAGCTAATCCTTATTGTCTAAAGAATTTAGCTTCTTCATTACAGCTGGTGGAGAGTAACACTACATGGTATTCTGACAACTGTGGTCAGAATCGCAGCCGACTCACTAAGCTCACTGTCACACACAGCCCCCTGCTCCCCAACAGCAGAATGTCAGACTTGATGGTGACGGTCTAGGTTTCTCCTGAAGATTAGGGACAAGGATGCCATGTGTGCCATTGCTATTCAGCATTGGCCCAGAAGTTCTAGCCAGAGTAACTGACCAATTACTCTAGGTAAGAAAATGAAAGGTCTCAAGATCAAAAAAGAAGAAAAAGCACTATCTTCATTTTGCATGCAAATGATCCTAAAATCCAAAACTCAAAAAAATTAATTACTAGAGTTAATTAAGGAATTCACCGAAGTTGCAGGGCACAGGAGCATCAACATGAAAATGAGTCATTTTTACACGCCAGCATGAACCCCAAAAGGAAACTAAGAAAAGAATTCCATTTTCCACAGAATCTAAGGTAAAACACTCAGGAATAAACCACAGAGATTAAAAGAAGATACACAAATGGCTAGTAAGCACACAAAAAGATGCTCTCAACATCACTAGCTATTATGAGAAGTATATGAAAACTACAGTGAGATATGAAACATGAAAATCACTTCCTCCCACTAGGATGGCTATTATCAGAAAAACAGAACTACCAAGTGTTGGCCAGGATGTGGAGAAACTGGAAGCCATGTCCACAGTTAATAAGATTGCAAAATAGTATAGTCACTGTGGAAATCACTTTGACGGTTTCTCAAATAGACACCGATAGATAAATGTTCACAGTAATCCTACTTACAAAAGCCAAAAGATGAATTAAAGGGAATTCAAAGTTGTCAAAAATAAAACAGGATGTGTAATAATTGATAAGCTAGTGAGCTGAGCTGGATGGATACTGGTCATTTTTAATCAATCGTACGATTCATTATACCAGGAATGACAAACTGAAGAAGAATGGTGCTACACTGACTGTCAAAAAGAACATTTCAAGATGTGTCCTTCAATGATAGAATAACATCCATATGGATATGAAGAAGACTTGTTCATACCACTATTATACAAATATATGCAACAATTAAAGTCAAAGATGAAGAAACAGGATTTCTATCAACTTCAGCAGTCTGAAATGGACTGAACATCCAATTAAGATACACTAATAACATCTTGTGATCAGAATGCAGAAGTTAGAAATAAAAGAAGCACTTGAGCTCAAACTCATTACTACCGTCAGGTCAGAAATGACTCACAGCTGACCCTCCAGCTGGTTACGAGAGGCTGCAAACTGCATAAAAGATTGCTCCCTTTCTTCCTCAGAGCCTCTGATGGACTCAAACCACCAAAAAGAGGCTGCCTCTGGATTAGTGCAACTCCTTATAGATGCCGCCACTGGAGTTCACAAGGTCTGGCAGTTAGAAAAGATGACCCTGGTGACAGAAATGAAGCCAGAGCTACAACGACCAATGCCTTACTCACAAAATACGTTTTTTTTTAACAACACTTTTTAAAAATTTATTTTATTTTATTTTAGAGAGAGAGAGAGAGACAGAGACAGAGAGAGAGTGTATGTGTGTACCGTCAAATCAGATCTGACTGGTACAGGAGGAGATTGTTCCTCCTTCTCCAGCAGAGCATCTGGTGGATTTGAACTGTGTACCTCTGGGATTGCAATACACACAAAATACAGTTTTACAAAGACCATATATAGTAGCTATATATGTCAGAAGAAACTCTAAAAATTGCACTAGAGAACTGAAAAGCTAAAACAAAGGTAAGAGGTAAAAAGAGGTAACTGAATATTTCAAATGGAAGTTCAAGAAGACAAAGCAAAGTATCATAATGAAATGCACAAAGGGCTGGAGTTGGAGAATGAAAAAGAAAGAATGCCTCAGTATTTCTCAAGTTGAGAAAGATCTGAAAACAAATTCAAGCCTCGGGTTGCAACACCAAGAGATGCTATGAGAAAACTCTTGTGTGATCCAGTAAGCATCAAAAGAAGATGGAGCGGTGAGCTCTGGTGGCCTAGTGGCAAGAAGCTGTACTGCAATCCCAGAGGTGCATGGTTCAAATCCACCAGACACTGCTGGAGAAGGAGGGACAATCTCCTCCACCTCAGGAATGGATGGCATACCAATGAACATGATCCAACTAACGCTATAGCCCTAGAGGCGCCCACGAGACAGTGCGAGGAAATTCAGCAGACACTAACCAGGCCAACAACAGGAAAAGGTCTGTATTTGTGCACATTTCAAAAACAGATGACCCAATCAAGTAAAACCTTGCTGAAGATTGTTAAAAAAATGGCCAAAGTCAGAAGCAGCTTTTTTTGATACCAGATGGATTTTGGCTAAAAGTAAAGAATACTAAGAGAGGATTACTTGGATTTTTTGAACTAAGGAAAACACTGAACAGTGTGGATCATGAAAAATCATGGATACATTAAGAAGAATGGCTATTCCTAAACATTTACTTGTGCTCATGCAGAATCTGCACACAAAACAAGAAGCAATCATTAGAATAAAACAAGGGAACGGTGCATGGCTTAAAGCCAGGAAAGACTTATGCCAGCATTGTCTTCTTTCACCATACCTATTCAAAATAACCTAAGAAGCTAAACTTGATCAAGAAGACTCATTAGCAACCTGCATCATGCAGATGACACAACCTTGCTTGCTGAAAGCAAAGCAGACTTGAAGCACTTAATGAGGATCAAAGACTGTAGCCTTCATTATGGATTATACATCAGCAGCACAACAAAAATTCACACAAGTGGATCAGTAAGCAGCATCATGACAAATGGGAGAAACGAAGCAAAGATTTCATTTTACCTGGATCCAAAATCAACACCCATAGAAGCAGTGGGCAGGTTTTTTTAAGTGGTAAAGGGTAAGGACATCTCTAAAGTATGCCTAACTCAAACCATGATATTTTCTCGCTTCAAATGCATATGGATATTGGACAATGATTCAAGAACACTTAAGAAGAACTGATGTTTCTGAACTGTGTGTTAATATACCATGGACTGCCAAAAATAACTAACAAATCTGTCTTACAACAGGTATGGTCAGAGTGTTCCTTAAAACAAGGATGGTTACACTTTGTCTCACATACTTTGGGCATATTATCAGGACAGGTCAGTCTCTGCAGAAGGACTTTATGCTTGGAGCTCTGGTGGCCTAGTGACAAGAAGCTACACTGCAATTTCAAAGGCACAAGGTTCAAGGCCATCAGTCTCTCTGCAGAAGAATGAGCAATCTCCTCCCTTTTGATTAACTGCCTCTAAAAACCCGCCAGAGGGTCAGCTTTGGGTCGGTTCCAACTCAAGAGTACACAGCAACAGCTGAGGGGAGACCCCCTCACCCCCCTTGAGACGGACTGACATAGTTACTCCTGGGCTTAAGCATAGCAAATCATGAGTACGGAGAAGGATTGGACAATGTACTGCTTTACACAGAGTCACCATGGGTTGAAGTTTATTCAGGAGCACCTAACAACAAAATTTCTACCATTTACAAAAATAATTATTTACAATCCATCCCCAATAAGCCCAGTGCATACCTGCTCGGAGCCTGGGGAACACGTGGCATCCTGGCTGCGGGTCATCATCCTCCGAGGAGACTCAGGAACCAGAGGGAAGCGCTCTGGCCGTCCCTCAGAACCTGGGACAGGAGAGCTGCTGAGGCCAAAAGACGAGTCCAGGTCTGTCATGGACGACTCAATCTGCTGGAAGCCCCAGAGCCCCACCTTCCGCATACATTGAGAGCACGTCAACAGGGAAAGCTGCATTGGTTCCAAGGAGGAACTAGGGATGAAGAGAGAACAAAGTACACTTGCACAAAGGGTAACATTTCCAAAAGTGAGTATTCTTTATCTCAACGCAAAATATTGTAACAAAAGCAAGAGTTAAAATGAAATATGCAAAGGGGTAGGAGTAAGAAAATCAAAGGAGAAGAACACGCTTGGTGTTTCTCAAGCTCAAAGAACTAAAGAACAAATTCAAGCCTCACACTGCAATACTGAAAGATTTTACAGGCAAAATATTAAATGATGCAGAAAGTACTAAAAGAAGATGGAAAGAATACAAAGAGTTGCCATACCAAGAAGAACTAGGTGACAATGAACCATGTCAGAAAATATCATATGATTTAAGAACCAACAGTATTGAAGGAAGAATTTTAAAAAATGCATTGAAACAGTGGCAAAAAATAAGGTCCCAGGAATTGATAGAATACCAACTGATGTCTTTCAACAAACAGATGCAGTCCTGAAGTGCTCACTACTAGCCTATGCCAACAAATCTGGAAGATAGCCATCCGGTCAACTGACTGGATGACATCTTTTTCTGTTCCCATTCCCAAAATAGGTGATCCAACAGAATGTGGAAATTATCAAACAGGCTCATGTGTGAAGTGGCTGGATTCTGGAAGGTGGGTTCTCTTGCTTTGACCAAGGGTCGCGGGTGGACTGTTTGGCTGGTTTTTATTTTGTTCACAATCGTGTTAGTTGACTGGATTTACTGGATTTAGCTAACAATGAGCTGTGGGCTGAAAGCCTCTTGTTAAGAGTCTATCAGGACCTGGTGGACAGGCCTTTATATTTAACAGTCAGTTAACTGGGCCCTGACTAAGTCTCCAGTTTGGAGGCTCATTTGTAAAGTGGACAGTTGTGGCCCTCAGGTCTGGTATTAATTGTTTTGTTTTGATTTTTAAATTTTTTTTTATTTGGTATTAATTGTTTGAGATGAATATTCTTGTAAGTGATACAGCACTGGTCTGTCAATTTGCTGTACTAAATTGGGGTTGCTGTAACGCTGAATGCTGTGCCACTGGTGTGTTAAATGCTGTAACGGTTACCCATGGTGGACAGGGTTTGGTGGAGCTTCAGATTAAGACAGGCTTGGAAGCAGGAGTGGCATCCACATCCTAAACAATATGCTTCTGGAAATTCGATGAACTTAGAGAAATAATGATAGTTACAGAACACGGTTCATGGTCTGTTGTTTATAGGGTCACTATGAGTTGTGCTCACCTCAGTGGCACTTAACAACAACATCATTTATATTACATGCAAATAAAATGTTAAAGATTATTCAAAATTCCTATTGGCAAAGAACTGCCAGAAATTCAAGCTGGATTCAGAAGCAGCAGTGACATGACATCATTGGTGATGTCTGACTGATCTTGGCTGGAAGCAGAGAATATCAGAAAGCTGCTTACTTGTATTTTACTGACTATGCAAAGATATTTTACTGTATGGATCATAATAAATTACAGACAACATTGAAAAGAATGGGAATCCCAAAACACTTAACTGTACTCATGCAAAGCCTATAAACAGACCAAGAAGTGGCTGTCTAAAACAGAACAAGGGAACACTGAATAGTTTAAAACCAGGAGAGATGTGTATCAGGGTTGTATCCTTTCTTTATACTTAATTCAATGTGTATGCTGAGCAAATAATTCAAGAAGCTGGACTCCGTGAAGGAAAATGTGGTTATCAGGAAGGGAGGAAAATTCATCAATAACCTGCATTATACATACGACACAGACCTTACTTGCAGAAAGTAAAGACTTGAAGCTCTTACTGAAGAAGATCAGAGACTATAGCCTTCCATTCAGATTACACCATTTTATCAAGAAAACAAGAATCCTTACCACTAGACCAGCTGGCAACATCATGGTAGATGGAGAAAAGACTAGAGCTGCCCACAACTTCATTTGCTTAGATCCATGATGAATACCAATGTTGTTGTTATGTGCCGTCGAGTCGTTTGTGACTCATAGCGACCCCATGCACAACAGCCCTAAA